AATTTGGATTTAGATTTGTTATGTTTGGGATATCTCTTAGATATCTCCTGAATATATTCAGAGGTTGGGTTTATAAAAATAAATTTCAGAGTATTCATTTTGAACAGATGGTCTTTAAAACCATGGGAACGAATGAGATCTCGGGAGATCTCAGAGGGAGGGAAAAAAAAACGGTTTGAGGGCAGGTTTACAAGGACAGTCTCCCAGATTATCAAGGACAGGTAATCCTAGTCTTATACTCCCTGTCCCACCACACAGAAGAGCACACTCCACCCTCAGCTCATGAGGCCAGCGGGCCTTGGTACCCAGATAAGGAATTCATAGGCCAACCTCACTTATGAATATATACATATTTTTTTAAAAAGTCTTACAAAGTAGATCTAGCCGTTTATAATATGATCAAATTGTATTTATCTCAGGAATGCAAAGTTGGCTGAATATTATTCTATTAATATAACTTACCACTTAGCAGATTAAAGAAGAAAAGAACCCAAGATCATTTGAGTAGAAAAATGTTTGATAACCACTCTTGATTAAAAAGAAGAAAACCTAATTTTAAACGCAGAGCGGGAAGGGATGGGGACTTCCTGAAGCTGACAAAGGGTGTCTACCGGACCTGTCAGACCTAACGGAGAAACTTTGGAAGCATATCTTTAGAAAGAAACCAAGAATGAAACAAGGGTGTCTACCACTATCATTTTATCTGATATGGTACTGGAGGTCCTAACCAGTGTAGCAGGATTTTAAGAAGGGACACAAAAACTGCCATTATTCACAATGACGATTTGCATAGAAAACACAAGATAAGTGATCAGAAATGAGAGAATTTCTGGATACACAATCAATAGGTAAGTCATCAAGAGAGTCCTGACACCATCAGTAAGCAGTTAAAATATGTGATTTAGACGAGAAGCTATTTAGCCACCATCCGCAGCTAGTAAAGGTGGGCTGGGGTGGAAGCAGGGTGAGTTCAGGCTTTTGGTCATGGGCGCACCCCCTCTCTAGCATGGCGACGCTGTAGCAGGACGCCCACCCGGGTGAGCTGAGCAGCAGGGTCCCCGCGCCTGCCGGCCAGACTCACCATGGGCAGCACAGAGGCCTGCAGCGAGGCCACGATGATGGGCTTCGTCCTCTTGTCCTCCTGGCTTGCTGGGGGCAGGATCTCCACGAGGTTCATCTCCTCCTGGACTTTCTCCCCCAGGCAAATCTGAGCGGGTGGACAGCAGGCGGGCACCTCGTCACCCGAGGGCAGAGCGGGGAAACCTCGTTGCCTCTGTAGGGATCCGACTCCCCGCTCCTCTCTGGTGGTTTGAGTCCCTCCTCCCCGCCTTGGGGTAGGGGAGGGGGCACCCACCGTATTGAGCAACACCTTACAGTCCTGCTCGCCCTCCTTCTGCGGCTTGAAGGTCCAGGTCCGCTTCTCCTGGTTTAACTCACAGCCTGGAAGGGAGAGGCAGGGAGTTGGGGGCCGTGTCCTCCAGGCCGTCCTCCCCCGGCGGACGCGCCAGCAGCCCGTGCGCACTCACCCCAAAGCTTGGCTGTCCCGGC